TCTTACTGATTTATTTTATTCAATTCGATTAATACAATTTATAAAATATAAATTAATGAATATTATGTATTTTCAAACAAAAAAAAATGTTAATTCACATATTTATATTCTCAATTCTATGAAATATATTTATTTTTTTTTTCTTTTATGTCATGTCATGTCATTGATCTCGTATTCGTTAATAATCTATATCTATTTCTTTTTTTTTTTAAATATAATTTTCACTTTTTAATTTCAATTTTTTGAACAAGACAAATATTAAAAAAATCAATATATAAGTGCAAAAAACAAAATTAATCTTATCCTTGAAGATGGTAAAAGGGGAGTTTTAGCTACAAATTCCATCAAATATGTGCTTTTATATTTATTTTTCTAGATTAAAATGCTCATTTGGACTTCCCCATTGTGACTATTGTTTTTTTATATCAATTTAATTCACATGTGGGCTTGAAACGCATTAACAAAAAACTGGGCTTTACATTTAAAGGTTATTTGAAACATCTGGTCTCAGCCCATTTAAAGTGAATCCCAAAATAATCTTAAATAACCCTCTCACTTTTCAGTGAGACCTTTAATCTATATCTGTTTATAGTAAAGCCCAAATTTGTCACCATGACTAAATTTGTGAATTTCAGAGTGAAAATGTATTACTTTCATTGTATAAATAAATTTGGTTGTATTAAAGTGTAAATATTTAATTTATCACATATTTCAAAGTGAAAAGTATATACTTAAATATAAAAAAATATATAAATATGTTGAAACGGTTTTGCTATGAAGCCAACTTTCTCTATATAACAAGTAAACCTACCATATTTTCTGATTACTTAAATAACACTAATATAATTTTATTAATGTGGTAGGTTTATTTGTTAACTCACTAGTCCCACTCTAATGCCATATTATTTGATTTGATCACATTTTTCTTGATATAAATCTTGTCATTAAATAAATCTTTTGACCTATATATATGAGCTAATTTTTTTAGATTTATAATAATATGGGTAAAAAAAAAAACCAGAATTACAATGGTCAATAAGCATAGGATTCTATAGAAGACAAATAAAGATCCTTTGAATTTGAGGACAAAAATCTGGTACTTAAAACAGCCTTTTAACTAAGTACAAGTTGACTGAAAACCACAAGTACATTACATGGAAGCTGTCTAGAACTAACCTAAGAGTTCATGAGTTTTGTTTTACTTATATAAGCAAGTGTTATTTGCTAATCATTAATTAATATGGTTCTTATAGTTAGTTAAGTTCTTACAATTTGGTCTTGACATGAATTTAATCACATATGAGGTTAGAGGATCCAATTTATTAACTAGTAATTGGGATCCTGTGGTTATACTATGGTTTCTAATAATTTTAATCAGATTATATTAAGGCTATGTTTGGTAAAATTAATAGTTGATCATAATAAGCCTGGTGATAGCGCTGATAAGCTAACTTATAGCTTATATGTAATTTTCGAGCTTATAGCTTATAACTTATGACTTATAGCTGAAAAATTAGTTTATATGATAAAAATGTTTGGTAAAATTAGATGATAAACTAACCGAACTAAAAATTTTTAACTAGTTTATTTGAAAAGCTACCAAAAGAAGATAATGAGCTTTTTAAAAAGGGCTCGTCCTATCAAACGAGATTTATTTGAATACTGAAAGCTTATAGGCTAATCAAATAAGCTATAAGCTAACTTTTTTACTACCAAATTAACATAGTCTAATGTGCAACCATGTTAATCATAGTTAGATTGAGCTCTTCTAATTAGATTGAACCATGTTAATCCCTATATATATAGGGATTAATCACAATAGTCCATTAATCATTATCTAGGCAATCTATAATTGTTATTTTCCTCCTAATTAAAATTAGTTAGTATCTGCCAAAATGTACAAAATATTTTGTAAAATTAATTACCCCACATTAAAATTTACACCATTGTACAATGTTATATTTTATATTTAAGAGTTTAAAATAAAATTATTTTATGAAAAAAAAAACTATTGCACATTTATATATCGGAAACATAGTATTTAAATCCGGCCCGAGAAATCAACCCAAAAAGGCCTCACTATTTTTTTTTTTAAAGTAATCTACAATTGTATATTTTTTTTTTCCCATACAGGTTACACATGATAAGGGTATGTGAGCAATATTGTGCATTTTCAAAAAATAATAAATTAATTATTTCATAAAATCTTAATTTATTTGAATGATTGGAATTTAGCTTTTCTATTTAATTTGAATGAGTGGAACCCAAATCCATGTTATATACAATATAATCTATAGGTCCTATAAATACTAGTTTTCAAATGAGGAACAACTAGTGCTAGGCAGCCCCCCTATGCTGATTTTGTCACTTAATTCTAAGATTTTTTTTTTAAAAAAAAAATATATATTTTATATATGCTTTAATTTCGTACAAATTGCCAATTGCAAAGAGGACCACATTTTTTTAATTACACCAAATACAATTGATATATGCTAATCATCATAAGTTAGTTTATATTTTATTCAATCAACTTATTATATATAAGCTCATTATATATTCAAATACATTTAAGTGTGGTAATTAAGATGATTTTTTCAAGTCAATTTGTAAAAAGAAGTCCATCGAAAGTTTTATTTTGTCCGACTTGTAAGTAAATTTTAATATTTTACCAATCACTTTTATCGTATCAGCTAGTTTTTCAGCCATAATTTATTATTATATTTTTCAAAATAAAAATTGAACTTATATGAAATATTGTATTAGAAAATAGACAAATGGTTGGTGAAAATATGGCTTCACATTTTTTACGTGGGATTAAAGAAATCACAAAGTACTGATGATATAGTTGGACAATAAAATCAGAATAAATTGTTTATTTATTTTATATTATTTTTTTTTTAATAAAATAATTTGAATTTGCGTGAATAGTGCAAAAAAGGTGGGGCGACCCGTAATATATATGGAGCGGACCTTTTCACGCATGCACGCGCATCTGGCGCGCTATGTCAGTTGTATGTGGCCTACTTCAAAAGTCTCCTCACTACAAAGGTTTATTTAAAATGGGTGATTTTTTTTTTTTTATTTTTTTTTATTTTTATAAAGTTGGAGAAGTATGGTGGAGATGTTATTCGAATTGAGTCGAATCGAGTAGTTATCTTCGAGCTCGTGTTGGTTTTGAGAAAAGAGTTGGCTCGGTTTCGTACAGTAAATTTTTCAAAGGTTTGGTTAAAGCTTGATTCATTTAAGCTCGTGAAAGTTCAATTCGACTCGCTTAACAAACTTAAAATCATAAACGGGGTAGTTGAAAACGTAATTTGCAAGTTCACCAAGGCTATATTTGGTAAATAAATAAGTTAGCTTATAAGCTTCTGTACTTAAATAAGTTTCGTTTGATAGAACATTTTTATTTTTTTTAAAAAGTTTGAGTTTATCTTATAAGCTTATTTGGGTAGTTTTTCAAATAAGCTAGTTGAATTTTTTATTTCAACTAGCTTATCAGCTAATTTTACCCAACACTTTTATCATACAAGCTATCTTTTTATGCTATAAGTCATAAGATATAAACTATATATAATATAAGCGCGAAAATTACTGATAAGTTATACGCTAGCTTATGATCAACTAGTTTTACCAAACACGATTTGAACGTTTGTGGACATGCTCAGCTCGGCTCGGCTCGGCTCGGCTCTTCTTTCGAAATCTATAAACCAATAAAAATATAAATGATTTGTTTTGCGACGAGTTCAAATCAACTCGTTTAATAAAACAATCTGCGAACTGCTCGGTTAAAATAACATATACATTTCATGGATTTGATTTTTGATTTTTTTT